CGCGCCGTTGCAGGCTTGGGATTCATCCTCCGCCCGCCTGCGCAGGCAGAGCGGAGCCGGAACATGGCGGCGTCAGGCCTGGTAAGCGCGGCCCGGGGCGTGAGCGGGAGGAGGCCGGGCCGGGCTGTATCTCGGTGTCGGTGGGGAGCCAGCTTTCCGCTGTCTTCCGCAGGCCTTGGGTCTTCTCGTCATGAAGCCCAGCCCTGCCCTCCAGTCCTCCAGATCTTTTTTACCTACAGTAGAAATACACTTTTGCTTCCAGTCCTGCTGGTCTGGAGAAACAGATTCTTGATTGTGTGCCAAATGTGTCTGGAAAAACACGACGTTGTCAGTTAGCTTTTGTTGAGAAGTCGAGCCTTACGTGCAGTTTTGAAGGCACTGTTTTTGGTACCTGTGTTACTCGATCTGTCCTAGGAAAGGCGACTGCTATTTCAGATGCCAGCCGGGAGTGACTACCGAGGTCACACCCTTTTGTTGTTTATTAGAGTTTCTTCCCCTTCGACCTTCACCAGTCTGCCTTTCAAATTTCGCTATGGTTACTACGTATTATGAAACCCATCTTTTCCTGTACCAAACTTGTAATTGCTCATTTAACTCCTCTTTTAAGGACGTCTTAAAAGCCTAGATGATCTCCCGCTATGTAAAATTGTGTATGTCTACTGTACTTGCATACAGAGATGTGCGAAAGGATAGTAAAATTTGTGTTCTGTACGAAGGACAGGAACATTGTTTACATTATATATAATCAGAAAAAAACTCTACAGCTACTCTCTGAGGGAAGAGGAGAATAAGACTTACCAAATTACTGCAGTTCGTATTTCAAATTCCTCTCGCCGAACTGCTTCAAGCTTTTTAGTTATAATGTCTGGTTTGATGTTATATTCTATTTAAAAGACAAGGAGGAAGAAGCTTTGGGAGATATCCTTAGATTTTTCCTGCGTAGGAGTTGTTCTCAAGGGGTGTGTGTGAGAATTTTGTCCCCAGGATATGTTTAGTGACGCCTGCAGAAATTTTTTTTCCCCACAGGCAGTAGTTAGGGTAGGTGTAGGGAGACTGACAGTGCGACAGGCTAGCTAATGGGGCGAGGATGGGGATGCTTGTGAGGAGCCTCAGAGTACAGGCCCACAGCAAGGAATCATCCCACCTCAAAATGTCAGTCTTTAGGAGGTTGACAAATCCATCTATGGTGTACAGTATTTTCTTTGAGGAAGATAATCTTACAGTGAATGGAAGAAATGCAAACAAAAGTCAATTGAAATCAAACCTGGCGGTATTTATTTTCAAAGTCAAAAATCGTGTGTGTGTGTGTGTGTGTGTGTGTGTGTGTGTGTTTTCTTTTTTTGGTATCAGGATAGAACTCAGGACCTTGTGCTTATGAGACAGGCGTGGTGCCACTGAGCTAAATCTCTGGCTCTCTTAATCTTTGTTTAATTTAGATTTAAGGGATATCATTTGCCTTGCTTACCATCTGCTTTCCAGTCTGTCTATATAGCACTCGGCATTCTAGTAGGTGCTCAAGTAATATTTGTTGAACAAATGAACTTTTTCTTAAAAATTTCTTAAAAGAAACAGTACTTTACAGGTGTTGAGTTTCAGAAGCATTGCAGAATGCAAAGTGGTAAATCCTTGAATTTGTTGAGTGAAATTAGAAGATTAGACATAATTTAGACTTTGGAAATTTGTGTAATCTCAAAGTTGAGCTTCCCTTCGGTGTATCACAGTGCCGAGTATTTAACAAAAATGTAAGTGCTTTCCATCCAATGTATAACAGTGGGGCAGTTGTAATATTGTAATAGCTAGGTTGAGTGTATAGTACAGTGGTATAGTGCTTGCAAAGCATAGCATATATGGGTCCCTGCATTTGATCCCTAATACTGCCAAAAAAGTAAACAAACCCTTCGAGTAAAACTGAGACTTGTTAGGTATCTCTAGTCCTTATTTTGCCGTCTGTAAAATTTTGCATCTTAGGTATGTCATGGAGACAACAAATTGTCACCATTATAATTTTTTTTTATTTCATGAGATTTTGTTATTGGTTATATCTTTGATGTTTATGTGGCACGTATAGTGTAGTAGGCAAAGCTATTTCAAGAATATAAATTAGCTTTAAAAAAATTTCTCCAGTTTCTTAAAATCTAGTATAATACTTTATTTTCTGTTTTTCTTCCTTTCCTAAATAATTTAAAAAGCTATTAGGTAAGGCCAAGCAAAGTAATGTTTATGAAGAACTGCATGGTTCAGAGCAGGTGTTTGTGTAGGAGTATGAGTGGAGCTGAGAGGTGGTCAAGTTCAAGATGCCAGAGCATGAGTGGGGTGAAGTTGGTGTCCATATGGGGCATCTCAGTTCTACCATGGAAAGGGGCTACAACTACTTAGGAGGGTTTCTGGTGAGGTCTTACAGTCAGAGTGGGGTGAAGCAACTGTTTCTGTGGTGAGGCATGGTGTAAGGTGAGAAGGGTATCTGTCTAGGAGGGGAATGTTGACTCAGCCGGATTCATAGGAACCTGGGCATTTTCACAGGACAGTGGCTTGGTACAAGATGTCAAAGCCTGAACTGAAGGAGAAGGGAGTATATGTAGGATGTTGGGTGAAACCCTGATGGGAGAGCATTAGGGTATGGGTTTGGGAGGTTTGAACCCAAGCAGAATAAAGAGGGTGTCATGGGGGGTTAAAAACTATGTGCTGATGCACCTGAAGAATCCTTAAAAGAATTATGTATGAAAGCCAGTTTTCATGGAGGATAAAGTTGCAAGTACAGAAAATGTTAGAGAACAAAGTTGTAAGTACAGAAAAGAAAGAAAAAGATTTTGATTGAATTGGAGGTATCACTATGAACTCATGGTTTCCAGTATTCACAGACCGATATAGGGAAATACAGGTTTAATGATGATATGTATATGTACACTATATTCTCTCATTGGTTCGCTGAAAAGTCAGACAGCAGCTTCGCTGAAGCAGAAAGTACACTTACCACCTAGTTCATGGTTTCAAAAGACTATTCTCTACCAAAAAGGGTTGGGGCAGAGAAAATACAAGATGAGCTTAGAACAAATAGTATATTTTTGTTTGTTGTTTCATCTATGCACAATTATGTCTTAGTTATATAATTGTATCATTAGGAGTGGGGCTTAAACACTTGGTATTTATATTTTCATTTTTTAAAGTGTGATATTTATCTTATTACTGCCAAATCTTCAACTAGAAAATTTCTTCTGTAATTTTTACAATTAAAAGATTGGGCCAGGTGGGCAAAGGGGCACATGCGTGTAATGCCAGCACTTGTGAGGCTGAGGCAGGAGGATTGCAAATTCAAGTTCTGCGTGGGCAACTTAGCCCAAACCTGTCTCAAAAGTTTTAAAAAGGGGGCCGGGGATTTAGCTCAGCGGTTCTGCTGCCTGCCTTGCAAGTGCAAGGACTCAAGTTTGATTCCTGGTACCAAAAAAAAAAAAAAAAAAAA